GAGTTGACCTTTGACCTTTATAGGCCTAGGATGGCCCTACGAATATTTCATGTGTTTCATAGATTTATCGATGTGGGCTTTGTTACTTATTATCTTGTTATATGTTTAACTACAGAATAAAACCATTGTGAGATGGATGAAACTGAACATAAAACCGACTACGTTTCAATCCTTGTTGATCCTTGTTAAATAAAAGTAACTTTTTTTTACTTATACTGAGATAACAAGATAGTTTAGACTCGATAACATATTCATAAGAATACACTGGATATTGAAAATTTTTTTCTTGACAGCAAATATGACTAAAAAATTAATGGACATGGAGGTGTATACCAATGATACAAATGAAAATTTGATCCGTCAAAATTCATCAATAGAGAATATAAATATAAAATAATTCTGTTAGTAAAGGTGTAAAAGTTGCATTTTGATACATTAAACGGCCTACTAGAAATGTTGGGTCGTCATTGGTCAAAAAAAAAAACGACCTTAAATTTTCAAAATTTTAGGTCGGTCGGTCCATGGGAAACACAAATTTTGTTTGCTTTTTGGTCTAATATGGAGTTTAACTTGAGTGACGAATGACCGTTTTATTAGCGATAAAATGTATTTCCTCCACCACGACCAGTTTGGATTCCTCTGATGACAGAAGGGATCCCAACAAGAAAAACTCTGTCGAGCAGTGTCCAGATGTGTGTTGGTCAAGCGCGTGGCTTCCTCTGACCATCAGTCCACCTGGTTGAATCGACAGATCGACGGAGGACATACCAATTAATGTGACGTCAAGTACAATTTAAAAAGAAACTCTGATTCGTACTGTGACCAAATGATTAGTGATTGAAGAAACAACAAAAACAGACTTCCCGGTCATCAACTAAATAATCAAGTGTTTTTTACAGCCAAATTAAGAGAAAGAGAGAAGGAGAGCGAATTGTATCTGAATTAAAGTGTTCAAAAGTCAATGTTATTGTTAGTGTAGGCTACGACTTATTTTCATAATTCTACCATGGGCATTTAGTAACTTGCAATGTCTGCATTAAGGAATGTCCGTGACTGAGTTACAAAAAGCCTGTGTTAAGAAAATTCCGAAATGTATGCCAAGTATATAACACGCGTCATCGATCCTTAGTGTGTTCAGTTTTACGTGTGCTGCCAGAAAAAAAAAAAAAAAAAAAAAAAAACATTCTCTACAAAAGTACAAAAAAAAAATGTAATGTCTTACCGTTTTCAAGAACGTTTCCAAAGACTGCGTTGGACTGTTCATCAACAGTAGAGCAGTTCCATCGCCGGTTAGCAAACTGGAATTGGCACTCGTGGATCGCGTTTTCCGCTCCGCCAGAAACGCTTGTCATAACTTCCGCGTTTCGCTTACATATCTGGATCTGCTTGTTAATCAGCCCAGGTAAGTTGTCACAATCCGATGTTTTGATTGACGAAATCCCCGAAGCGTGGATCGCTGATAATGCTCTAAAATTCAAAATAACAACTGAAAAATTAATAACAGGCTGCTTACGTCCATCCATTTACTTAATAAATGTGGGATCTACCTACCACTCGCCTTCTTTCTTTCTCTTTATATTTATCTCTCTTACCGCTCTCTCTCTCTCTCTCTCTTCCTCTTCATTTACTCTATCTTGTTACAATATTTGCCACGTGTAGGCTTCCAATGTCTTGTAATTTTTATTTATTTTTCTCTTTCAACAGCAATCTGATACACTCATTAATGGCCTTTCCATAAGCCCCGACCCTCGGATATCGTTGCTAAGGTAGGGCCTACCACAAAACGACCGTGTAAACAGACGTACGTGGGACAAGCGCGTATTCCTGGTAGTGTTATAACTGGTCAGTTTTAAGCTTGATTGATACTCTGGGACGTTCACACGATGAACAACAACATGAGGCTTAGGAAGTTATTTTTTGTCATGAAAAACAACTGCATGTGCCTGACAGGATCTGAACGCGGAACCCTGGAATTGGAAGCCATCTTACAAATTTAGCTCTACTCCATCACAGCAAATTAGAGAAAAAGAGCACAAGATGTTTATATTTTCAACAAGCATAGAAGAATGAATGTGGCCCCCGAGTTTAATTATGACGCGTCACTTAAATCATCATAAAAGTAAATGGTCATTTACGTGTAAACACGTTTATTTACCTGACCCTAATTTTGCAACAAGAATGATGTTCGTTGGTCAGTGCGGTTAATACGCGCGATGATTAAATGGTGAGAGTGATCATTAACAAAATGAACGAATGTAAACAAAGGGCATATCTCCTAAACAAACTCAAACGAATGTGACATCATAAAGTTCGTTTACACTTTGTTTCATCGTGTAGACATAGTTGAATGGCATCGAGCATAATTACGGCATTTTAAATTTAAATTACGTACCCCTGAGGGTCTGGAAATGCAGTAAAAACAACAACAGAGTAAAGGACTAAATTAAAACAATCGTCAGATTGAAACTAAAAAAGCAACATTAGACCTAGTGTACCGAACACGGTACTAACACAATTGAGTAACATAGGGCCTACAGTTCTGCATTGTATAGCTCCATGGGTTTCGCATAACAATAAAGCGACGTAACCTGGTAAGGGAGATAGATTAGTTTACCCTGCCTGGCAGGTACTAAATCGTGTATAATAGTACCTCCTTGGTTTACCTTTTATTATTCTGTCGTCGTGTGTGCCAAGTTTTACAATTTATCAAATGAACAAGTACTGTAGTACATGTAGTCCATGATAGTTAGTAGAATAAATAATTGCCAGTGAACGTTGTAAGATAGAAAAAAAATACACCCAACAAAACATCTCGTTTGTTTGAATTACCACAAACAATTTCTATGAGTAGAGATGGATGACAGACTAATAGTTGGATGAAGACAACAGAAGACAGACAGCTACTGTGAAATAAGATGTGTCTCATACTTATTTTATCATGGTAGCTCATAAAAATGGAATTTGTATTATAGGCCTAAATATAACATGATCATTGAAAGATATAAAATATAAATAACAGCTAACAACCAACATTATTACCACAAAATTTAATTTTCACAAGGCCAGGATTGGTTAAATCCACTCTCTCTATCTCTCTCACCAGCAAACACATTATTTCAATTGATCACGCACGTATATATTTAAATGAATTTAAGCTCAGCATGACGACCAATAGCAAGACGGAAAGCTCATTTTCAAAATCATTTAACACTTACAAATATAATAAGTGTTTAACGCCTTTTAGAAACTAATTTTCAAAAAGACACTGAATACCGTACATTTTTGTTTAATGTCAGCCAATCAAAAACTATAACTAAAATGTGTGAGGGCTGGGAGGGGGAAACCCCTTTAAACTATATAAATCTTTATGCCAGCTAGTTAGTGTCGACATTTGCTGGGTTGATTAAATTGATTGTTTTCCTTAATAATGTACTGTGCAGTGATAGCCAAAGCTGTTTATAGTCAGCCACCATTCAGCATTTATCACATCCAAGTTCCGGTAGTTACACGCGATGAAATTCTACTTAACAAAGATATTAATGTCAAGAGCGTGGTGGGATGTACGAAGTAGTTGGAAGAAAAATTACAACTCGTAACTCAGGTTAAATGAGTGGCTTAAAAAAACGCATAGTTAACCCGGATAAATTCATGTTAACTTTGCCACGGAGGCCGAAGTAATGTGCTCCCTGGGATTTAATGAGAGCTTGAAGCGATTGTTGTTGTCTAGTTCATTTGAAATAACCGTACTGATGAATTGAGAGGCCAATAAGTTAGCAATTCTTATAATTCTTTGATTACAAAAGCATGTCACGTTGAAGCTTAGTAGGCCTATAATTATTGTTGGCGCAAGTTTTATTAACATTGTTAAAAAAAAAAAAGGAAGAACGTTGTTGGCCTATTTGATATCACAATTTTTTTCAACTCCAATTATTATTGCATTTTGTTAATACACTTTTCTATAAGAACCAATAATATTTTTCCCAGGCTCAGTGTTCTTATATTTTGCTGATTTCAGGCTCAAAATGTTCTTATTTTGTTCTTATTTTTACACACTTTTCAAAAAACATCTAAAATTATTATTTTACAGCAGTGTATTACTGTACTGTAATTAAAAGGGTATTGTATAGTATTACATAGTAACATCTACCACTCATAAGTTACGGATAAAGTGTGTTGGTTTTTCTATTTTTAAATAAAAACATTACTCGCCCCCCCCCCTTTTCCCCCAGACCCCCCCTTTCAAGACTTCTAGATACGCCAATGCTTACATAAAAAAAAAGTGTAGGCCTATTATAGGCCTATGGCCAGGCCTTTTTGAAGTGAATTCATAACTTTTATTTCTACACGATAAGTATAGGCCTATAAGATATACACAAAAAAAAATAATATTGAACTTCACCATGAGGCCCTTGTCACATAAGAGAAAATATATTGGGACGAGTTAGGTCTATGTAACAAGATGAAGGCCGCATTCTAATTCCTAAAACGTATTAATGTCAGGATGATTCATCCGCAAAACGGATCATTTGGGACCCTGATACAATATAAACAATTTTTTATAGGAGGCCTAAGGAGCGATGCTGTTTTGCATGTGACCAGGATTTGAACCTTGTATCTTTAGATAAAAGACGAAACAGAGGTTCATGTTCATGATGATAATGATTAGGAGATATTATACATCCAATTAATTCCCATCTTTTTCAAAGTATTGAAATCTAGTGGCAAAGCTGTGTTCACATCAGAGCCGAACCGAAATTTGGACCGCGTTTCCGATATGCTGAATACCTGCAGCATCCCATCTTACATACTGATTCGATTTTCTGATCGATTTCGGTAGGCTTTCCGATCCGAAAAATCGGATTCGATGTTAACGCGTCTTTATATTTAATATAAACACTTAGGCAACAAAGGCCTGGTTAAAGTGCATTGCTACATAGTCGACCTATTGTCTTTAAACACGTGGATCAGAAATCAGTCACCAAACGCAATCATTTAAAATTATACATATTTTTCAATGTAAGGAGATTGTTGAATTAAACCGGAACCTGGTAATCACCTTCTACAATGTAAAACTTGGTCACACTCACATTTTAGTGATTAATGTTGAAAGCTAACTTCGCGTATGTCGACACACACTTGTACTGTACTTGCCACTTTAAAATTAAAGCTTACTGGTTGATCTTTATTAAATGTTATTGTTTAAGAGACAGTTTACAATGTAGAGTCTGTTTCGTTAATATTTCAGTAAAATACCTGCACATTATCAGCTAATTTCGTGCACGGTGTAATCTTCATCATCTCTCGTGGAAAAAAAAAAACATTTTGGAATTCGTTTGATGAAAATATCTACTTTAAAGGTGATATAGGAAGATTGGTTTTGACAATCCTTGGGCAAAAATACGGTCACAAATTGACTAAATTCCACCTTTAATAAGTGATCACGATATACGACATGGTGTGGGGTCGGTTAAAATAAACCATTCACTCGAAATTTCAAACTCTGGTGCTATTTATTAAAACAGACATTTTAATTACGGGGGTCAATGGTAAAATCATATAAATTCCTCTCTCATTAACCTCCCTGTCATCGCGTGCAGCGCGCTTTGCTACAGTTGCGCTAAGGTCCCATGGTATGCACCCCAACTGACCAATCAGGAGGTTGAAGTCTGCACCCATGGAAAACCTTAACTGTTCGAGTTTACACTTCCCGGAATGTTAACTTTTACGGGATCTCGAAATTGTTTACTTAGTGTATTGTTTGTTTGTTTTTTTGTTTGTTTAGATACTTTCGACCAACTAGAACGCCTATCTGTTCTATTGTGAAATTGCCTTACTAACTGTACCGGTACTATTGCGATTATGAAACTATAGGGGGCCTACAATAGGTCTATAAATTATAATTTTGAATTTACTATAGGTTACTTGTAACATCGCTCCTTTGTTTATACCATTACTAATGGTCTATTATTGTTAAGCCGTTTTAAAGTCAATTTCCGGAGGACAAAATTTGTTTGATATGTAGTAGAACTGATTTTTCGGTTAATGAAAATAAAGTTTTTTTAATATTTATAAATTGGAGAGAAAGGGTGCACGACCACCGATTTTTCCTCCTTTTCCCCCCAGTTGTTAAACATTCACAAATCTGTATCTCATTAACCGCTTCGGAGTTTTTCGTCAAAAATCAGTTCTACTACATATCATTTTTTCCTCCGGAGCCTGACTTTAAGTTTGATGTTGCAGTTTGCAACTAGGCCTATGCCTATTGAATACAGTATGTGCAATGTTTTTTTTATTTCTTTTTCATTTTAAAACCAGTATTAAACATTTTTATATGCACCGTCGGGCATCTAATCAGCTGTATGGCAAATTTAGACTATACATTAACAATTTCACGCGCTCATTTCCGAGTCGGATGTCAGATTCGAACTCTGGAAGAGGATCTAACGAGAGCAGCTACTTTCCTTTTCTAAACTCCTCAGTGGTTTGACTCAACTTAGGCTAAAGCCCCTTGCCTTAGTGATTCAAATGATACTTGATAAACTCATCATAAACGAACGCGTGAATGGACCCTTCAAACGCGATCATTTTAATATTATCGTACAATGATCTTCTAAAATCACCGATACATTAAACTTAAAATAAATTAATGTACCGTACTTGAAGAAAACCGAAAGAAAGCTAGACCTGCAAACGTTCTGAGGGCTCTCAAATAAGCTGTCCGGGGAGACTAGGAGTACGTGGAAGTAACACGTATGTATTACTAACTTATAGTGGTGATGTTGGAATATTGGACACATTCAATGCATATGGAATTCGTCAGTGTTCATAGCAGAAGCGGCGGTTTTTAAAGGTATTTTGGAACATAACAATTGTTCGCACGTTTGTTTTATGGACTAGTAGGCCTACAGTGTAAGCCAACCTATGGAATCGTATTAACATCATTTTTCTTAACTTCCCTTGGATATATTAGCATAATTGAAATCATGTGTCGAGTAAGTAAAATGTGTTTTTGTTATAACGACTTCACTCGACACTACTGAGAGAGTATTGAAATAGAAAAAGGCCTATAAATAACAGTTAAATATTATATTGTATAAACAATTATACACTGGCCAATATTTTATATAATACATAATGTAGTCCTATCATTATGCAATAATATTTATTGTGTAAATAAAAGAACCTACACCAAATATTGCAAAGATAATCCCATCATCAGGGGATTGGTGGCCTAATATTCTACAGCAAAGAGAGCTTATAGTCCACGAACAGAATAATATTCAATACCAATTGATAATAATGCGACGATGGCGACGGCGACGACGATTAAATAACGACGGCGATAATGATGATGATGATGATGATGATGATGATGATGATGATGATGATGATGATGATGATGACGATGATTGTTGATGACGATGATGATGATGATTGTTGATGACGATGATCATGATGGTGTGGTGAGGATGATCATAATGATAAAGATGATTATTATGATAAATGTGATGATGATAATGACGATGACTGTGAGAAGATGATTGAGGTGATAATGATTACAGTAATGTAGATCATATACACGATGATGATGATGATGATGATGATGATGATGATGATGATGATGATGGTGATTGTGATGATGGCAACGACGACGATGATGATGAGTATGATTATGATGGCGATGATGATGATTTGACGATTATGATGATAATTTAATAATTATGAAGCTTGTGGAGGTGATGATTGTGGTGGTAGTGGTGATGGTGATGAGGAGGATGGTGACCATGATCATCATCATCATCATCATCATCATCATGATCATCATCATCATCATCATCATCATCATCATCATCATCATCATCATCATTATCATCATGACAGCGATGATACGCAAAATGGCGATGATGGCAATGCCAACTTGAAATGTTCTTCTATAATTAAATTAAGTTCGTCCAGCTGCAAATATTACCCCAACATCGCCCGACAATGTTACAAGTACATGTTCTCATCCCATTCCGACTTGGATGTCTACGCATTAAAAACTCAACTTGAGCCGCATGCACACTGTTTAAAATAGTCACGATTCAATTTACATTTCCAATAAGCGGTGCGTTAAATCGTTACAACAAAAATAAGGACTGCTGCGTTCTGGTAGAAAATAGACTTTAACCAATCAACCAATTGAGGAATTTAAATCAATTGTATAGACATGTATATACATAACAATTTATCTCTGTGTATAGAAAATACTGTACCTTGCAGAAAATTACATTTGAGTTACATGATACTATCTAGAATTATTAGATGTTAGGCTGAAAAAGAACTTAAAGTTATTTGCGGTCGCTCTCCCTCCTACCTCTACGCCCCATTAATGTATGATCATTAACCTTCTCAACTCCAAACTATATCATACTATTAACCCCTATATAAAACATAAAGCCCAAATTCGACCTCTTGTGGGGTTTGTCCCCCTCCCTAAATGTGGCTAAACTGTGGCAAGCACCAAAAGGCGTCACTATTGCATTATTGTTCTCCCGTGTTCTTTGATGAAATAAATTGTTATCAAAATGCCGATCAGAAGCCTGTAGAAAACACTTTCACACTTCAGTGATGTTAGCTTAATTATGCTGTTGATATTTTTCTGCATGATTAATACCTGGATTTTAAAGCTGCTGAAATCCGTTTAAAAAATCCACACGAAAGATTGATACAAAAACTGGGTTAAACAAGTTAGATTATAAGTTATAGGGTCTATTATAATGGATAATACACCAGGCCTACGCTTGCTATTGGTAATAACATTTAGGTATACCTCAAAACATAGTCTGTATCAACGTAACAGCTGAAGCTATACGGTTCAACCTTCATGCTAACCGTTATAAAACATACAGACACGCCGTTAGTGATATGACCAGCTATAAATCTCCTCTAGACCATAACTTATCATACAAAGCACCAACGAGAAACAGTTCTATTGGGACCACATAGTACAGTTCTCGCTTACTGCCAAGTCAGCCCACAGGAAAACCCTATCGAATCACCTTTCAATAACCAATTGTAGATGATTCATGCAGATAAATGCAATTTTATTACAATCCCGATAGTGTTTCTAAAAAATTCGATTCAACACCAAAATAAATTTTATAGACATTTTATTGTTGAAGTTTTTGAAATATTAAAAAACATAAAGTATCTCCTCATTTATTTAACAATTATTATACTGTACAACGAAAACCGTATGCCATTGTAACTAATACTGTTAATTGAGGAAATTTAATTTGAGTAATATTCAGTATTTTATACTATTAACATATAAAATAAACTTAAAAATTGTATTGGGGTTAAACCATTCTTGAACTATGTCTTTGTATACATACGGTACGTTATCCTGTAATAATATATGCCCGTAATATGTACACACACACACACACACACACACACACACACACATATATATATA